TATATATATATATATATATGAATATGATACTCTCCAAACGGAAAAAATGCAACTATAACAAATTCTTGGTTTACGATTAGATTTTCAAAGATCTTGTCATTTGGTTAATATGTACCGTATTGGATCCTATATTATTGTTGTCTTTCAATGATTCAATGAAATTCTAGATAAATTTAGTGTCTAACATCTGATGCTGAATAATTGCAAACACAATTACGACGTACGATAAATTTAAAGAGTTTCTTTCGTATTAAAATTGTTTTATCATTTATGCCAACGAATGGCCATTGACAGCTTATAAACTTTGTATCTTAAAGAATAATAAGATCAATAATGTCTCAAGAACAATTAAATAAATTGACTATGTCATCAATTGAAAAAGAAATGTTAAAAGATAATTATAAAAATAATCAATATCTTTGCATTTCAAAAGCTAGAAGAATAAACTCCAAATAAGAAATGAATAAATCTTATTCTATAAGTTTAATATACCTTTTATTAAGATTTAGCTTCTATAAGCCTAGAAATACAATAAAATGTTGTAAAAGCAGCGGGAAGTGCAAACTGTTGTCACCATCCGATTAGGAAAACGAAATCTTGCTATTATTTTTAAGAAGAATTAACTTAAATAGTCGCTCACTCAATCGTTTAAATTAAAAATAATTAGCAGATATATAATATATGTATAATAGTGTATATGTCATAAATAATATTTTATTTATGGTGAATGTCTATATTTTAGAGAGATTTTAGGGATTTTACTTGGTGGCTAAGTCACTCTTTCCCTATAAATAGAAGGATCCTATTCCATTGTAATTCATTTGTAACGACCCAAAATCCCACCACAGGCGTCGTGATGGCACCTAATCTCTAAGACTAGGTAAGCCGATTTCTATTATATTTTGAAGCCATTTTTTTTTTAAATTAAAAACTAACAGTGGAAATAATTACAATACACAACCTCCCAAGACTGGTAGTACTGATATCACGACCCCAAATTAACCCCCGTAAGGTGTCGTGATGGCACCTAGTCTTTACGACTAGGTAAGTATTGCAAAAAAATAAAGAAAACACAACATTTTAAGGATAAACAACATATTATAAATAGCCAAGAGTAGTACCACTCGGCATATACAAAATAATTTTCCAAGACCCGGAATATCACTAAGTCACAAGCTGCTATAATCTATGTAGCTCTATACAAAAGTCTGAGGATAATAAAGAAAGTATCTAGGCGAGGGAGTAGAAGGAGACTCCGAAGATCTGCGGACGCAAGCAGAAGTACCTTGAAGTCTCCTAGAATCAGCAGTGCGTACTAACCCCGAGGCTGATAGCTCGCACCTGGATCTGCACATGAAACATGTGCAGGGAAGGGCATGAGTACACCACAATGGTACCCAGTAAGTGCCAAGCCTAACCTCGGTCGAGTAGTGACGAGGTCAGGTCAAGGCCCTACCGGAGTAAATATAATAAATTAAACAGTAAAAGATATAAGTAGAATTTACGGTAACACAGTTAAAGAAATTTTCAAAAATTTAACAGTTAAGGGAGCCCTCGGCTCAAAACAAGGTAAACACAGTGAAAAATCTCTTGGGATACCGTCCCGTAGTTTCAAACGGATATGCAGTACAGGGGGATTTCTCGAAATACGTCCGTAGTCCCAAAGTAAATATGCAGTGCTGGGGGATCTCCCGGAATACGTCCGTAGTCCCAAAGTAAATATGCAGTACATGAGGATCTCCCGGAATACGTCCGTAGTCCCAAAGTAAATATGCAACGCAAGATAAAATGACAGGTATGACATCGAGTTATACAGTTTATACTGGACACAGATAAGGCAAATAAGGACTTAACTGAACATGACGCACAGAATGTCAATTAGACAGTTAAAACACGTAAACATACTTTTCTAGTCTAAACTACATAATTAAATATATTAGTATAATTAATAAGAGAAGTAATTTATGATTCAAAAAGGTTAAACAAGATTTTGTTTTTTGCAACAATAGCCCGTGTATGTACTCGTCACCTCACGTACACGGCGCCCACACACCAAATAATATCAAG